AAAAAAAAAAAAAAAAAAAAAAAAAAAAAAAGTTTCATATTAAACATTGCAACTGCTTTTAAATCCTAACCTTGTCATAGAAATGAACTAGATGAAACCTGATATTGAGAGAAATGTGCTGATTTTAAACCTTTGGACTATCTTATTTTGAAGACAGGGTCTCTCTCACTTAGGCTGGAGAGCAGTGGCTTGATCACAGCTTATTACAGCCTTGAACTACTGGCCTCAAGCGATCCTCTTGCTTTAGCTTCCCAAAGTGCTGAGATTACACGCATGAGCCACTGTGCCTAGCTTTTGTTTTCTGACTAATCAAGTGCAGTAGTAAGAAGGGGGAAAACAGTAGAACAAGGAGTTTGATATGTAACTGAATGAACAATCAATAGAGATGACTTACTATTTTGGACCAGCCTTGACTACTAATTTTGATTATAAAGATCTAAAAGAAATTGTTTCCATTTGGAAAAGGTTTAATTTGTAATATCAATAGTAAATTTTGGCAATAAAAAATTGAAACTGACTTGTGGAAACCAGTTAGTTAATTGCAACATTAACTCATCTCAAAGATTTAGGCTTACTTTTTGCTGCTGTCTTCTTCACTGTCACATTCTTTTTAGGAACTGGGTTTGTAATTTCAGTTTCATCTGGGAAATGTGTAGCAGGAGGGCTTGAAGACAGTGGTACACTATCCTTAGCATCATCACCTTCAAGGTCTATTATTTCAAATGGAAAGGAAAATAGTACATTTAAGCAACACATGAAAATCCATTTTCTGCTTTGTCCCTGCTATGAATTCCTATTGAAACACCAAATATGTGATTTTTCTGGAATATTTAAAACATACTCTTAAAACTTTGTTTTAATTTCTTTCTTTTTTTTTTTTTTGAGATGCAGTTTCGCTCTTGTTGCCCAGGCTGGAGAGCAGTGGTGCGATCTTGGCTCACCGCAATCTCCGCCTCCTGGGTTCAAGCGATTCTCCTGACTCAGCCTCCCCAGTAGCTGGGATTACAGGCTCACGTTACCATGCCTGGCTATTTTTGTATTTTTTAGTAGAGATGGGGGTTTCTCCATTTTGGTCAGACTGGTCTTGTTGAATTCCCAGCCCCAGGTGATCTGCCTGCCTTGGCATCCCAAAGTGCTGGGATTACAGGCATGAACCACCACACCCAGCCACACCCAGACTTAAACATTCAGGAGTTTGAGACCAGCCTGACCAACATGAAGATACTCCGTCTCTACTAAAAAAAAAAAAATACAAAATTAGCCAGGCATGGTGGCACAAACCTGTAGTCCCAGCTATTCAGGAGGCTGAGGCAGAAGAATTGCTTAAACCCAGTTGGCAGAGGTTGAAGTGAGCTGGAATCGAGCCATTACACTCCAGTCTGGGCAACAAGAGCAAAAAGATCAAAACTCCA